ATAATTTATATATGTATTTTTTTAAAATGAATATTTATAGCTAGAAAGATAAAATAATTTAATACAAAAAAGATCATCAAAATAAGTTAATTAATAAATCAACAAATAAAGTACAAAAAATCTAAAAATATTACAACTCAATCAAGTTAAGTAAATTTTATAGTACGGATACTTGATAACAGTTGTTCATACTTATTTATTCTGGTCATTTACGGAGTAGCACATGTGGTTGCACAATAATATTTGAAACAAAACCAATTTGGCACAATAGAAGGCATCGGGTGCCCTTATGCCAAAGATATTTTGACGTGATAATTACCGTTAACGTATCCAATTGTAAAAGCAACATGTTTATACCAATGCGAAGGACTAGATCGAAGTGGGAAGAATGTCAGACTACCTATACTTGTTAAAGAATGTAGCATCACACTGTATCTTGAAACAAATCAACAAGTCTGTTTCAAAAACATCCATTCGATGCTCATTTGGTGCAAATGAGTTCAACTCAAAGAAATTCAAGGAGTTATAAAGTTGATCTCATGTCATAGTAAAATACATATCACTTCACTTAACTAATATTAAGTTCATTAAATTAACATTAATTTCATTAATATTTTCCAGAAGTCAATTTTTTTTTCTTCCAATCTAAGGTTATGTTTTCAAATTTTCTTTCTATATATTTTTGTTATAACAATATTGTTTTTTATAAAAAAAAACATAAAAAATGTAAAATAATTTATATTTGAATTTTTAATAAAAAAACAACGAATTATTATCTGAATTTTTAGAGATTGTTGAAAACTGATGAAATTATTATTTGAATATTCAAAAACTTAAATAAGAACTGATTAGTTACTTTTTAAGTTTTAAAGTTGAAAAATAATGATGGATTATTTTATGAATTTTTAAGTTGCAGAAAAATTAATGATATATTCTATGAAAATATAGATAAAATGAAAATTAAGAATTTGCATATGAATTTTTAAAGTTTTTATTCGATTTTTATAATAACAAACTATATGCCTATATACATATGGTTAAAATTTATAAATTTTAAAATAAATGATATATTATTTTTTATTAATAATAAGACTTATTGTTTTTCCAATTTATTGGTTTTAAATTTGATTAATATATAATACAAATAAAAATTATAATTACTATAAAGTAACAAATTATTATTATCTATTAATTACTAGTTGTGTACCCGCGCAATGCGGCCGGAGCCATGAATTTTAATGATTTTTAAGTTTCACTGGTTTTATAAGACAATATTTAACGATGATATAAGTTACAGTTGATCTTTACATATTAATACAATTTGAATAAATAAGAGTTATGGTTCTAATTACAGACTATCGATGGAAAAAATTGTATGACAATTTAAAATCCAATAAACTACAAATTTGACAGATCATAAGCTATGAAAAGACCAAAAACGATGGATTTTAGAATGAAATTTCAACTGTTTACCCTCTTTCTTGTCCAGAAGCTCAGATTAAGGTTGAATTAATACATGTATATATATATTTCAAAAATACCCAAAACATATTATACAGTGCAATTTGGACATCCTAATCCCAAAATGTATAACATATATATAAATAAATAACTATAAAAGTATAAATCGTAAACATTAAAAATATTTTTTTCACAGTATATATAATATATAATAATATAATTAAGTCAAAAACTATTCAATATTAGACTCATTTCGAAGGTATTAACGAGACGATTATAATAGTGTAACTTATTAAAATAAAAATATATTTTTTAAACATGTTTTATTTGATATACGATTATGTATGTTAATTTGATAAATGTTTAAAATGAAACATTTAAAAGTAAATGACGTAAAGTAATTAATTAACTAATTATAGGGATATAAAATGTAAATTTAAAATTATAATTTAAAAAAAAT